TTATATTTTGATATTATCAAGAAATTTCTAATAATTACAAATTTTCAAAAGATAATAAAATTCAACTAAATGGTATTGATTAATGATATTTTAAATTGTATGCTATTAAAAATTATCGTTAATCAAAATTATAGTTAGTATTTTTCTTTATTGTGAACATTTGCAATCATTAGAATTTCTTGATAATATCATAAAAGTAGTGCTGGCAAAAAGGAATCTATATATTTTCAGGGTCTAAAGCGGGTCAACGGAGGGTTTTAACTAAACCCTACTTTGAAGCTTTAGCAGGAAAAAAGGAAATTTCGGACATATTGTAGCGCCAAAGTAGGTGCTATTATATACATACGATACAATGCATAACATCTACTTTGACTCTCTTATGCCTACCTCAAAATAAAAGATTAAGGTTCAATATAAGTGCTAAATTTCGACTCGGGCACGTCTCTTTAAAATGTTTAAATCATGAATTTTCAGCGAGCCCTCATCTATCTTCCCGTCTCTGCGACACTACTTTCGTCGCTGGATGCATTAGATCAGAATGCTAAGCGGCTACGCGAAAGCGCCGTTTACCCGTATCGCGCGATACAGCTTAATTCCCGACGACGTCGGGAATTGATCACAAATTAGCTGCCGATACGGCATCCTCTCCCCCTCTTCTTCTCCTCGCCGCAGCGCGTATTGGCTAATATTTCACCGGTCTAACGCACGCTGTACTCTCTCTCTCTCTCTCTCTCTCTCTCTCTCTCTCTCTCTCTCTCTCTCTCTGTGTGTGTTCGCGATTCAACTAAGTTTCCATGAAGCTAATCACGATGGTGCGATGTATAAGACACGCCCCAGGAACGAAATTAACCGTCGAATTATTAAATAAGAAAAACTTTCCTCGCGTTTCTCGGTGTATACGTTCCCTTCCGGGTCGCAAAATCTTGCGAAAGTAGCGAACGAGCGATAGTTAGTCTCACCGCGATTTGAATATTCATAAGAAGTGGGGAGAATCGTCGGGGACGTGCGTCGTTTCCCCGCGGTCGGGGTTTATATTCATGAAAAGTCTGAAAAGGTTCGGTGGGCATTACGCAATTTTAATACGTCGCTCGCTTTTTCCGGGGGAAAGAGAGAGTGAGAGAGTGAGAGGAAGAACGATGACTGCGAGCGAGCGAGGTGAATCTCCGTGCGGAGCTTTGCTCCGCAAATCCGTATTACAAATTATGCGAGAGCGCGGTATTAAACATCGCTCGCTTTGGAATCTGCGCTATCTCTATATTAGCATTTTACGGAGAAAACAGGATACGCTATTTTCACGCGAAACCACACGCGTTTATACGGCATGCGATCTGCTCGATATGAGAGAGGTATTCGTGTTTCGTATCGGGTGAATCAGTGATTTCGACGGCGCGAAAAATAGCCGGTGAGAGTGGCGCGCGTTGAAAGAGCGCGGGAATAAATAAGCGCGTTAGATAACACGCGGGGTTTCTCCGTCAAAATACGGATGGTAGATTTGACAGATTTTATCTCGGGCTTTTACCGTATTTATAAAGAAGGCGCGCGTTAAAGATCGTTCCGTCATACTACATCATCCCGGAGAATTATTTTTGGACATAAAGCGAACGGTGCATCTGCTCGAAGCGAAGATAAGCCGGTTTTTATTAAAAGCCCGTTTCCATTTTTTCCTCCGGATAAAAATTCATTCGACAGCTTTTATCAGAATTTCCATTTGAAGGCACTCGTGCCCTTATCGCGCCCTTCATTTCGATTCATCTCGTCGTTTCTTTCATTAGGCAGAAGATGTAAGAGCGCTAAACGCGCGGAGATAGGTGGCCGCGTAATTGCGGCGAGACGCCATGTCTGATGTTGTTTTAAGCCGACCCTAATTTCTCTCATTCCGCTCTTCCTTCGCAGTACGTCTTCGTGGTGATGGCGGTGCTCGTTCTGGAGGCCGGGGTCGGCGCGCTGGCGCGTCTCTACGAGGAACAAGTCGGCCCTGAATTGAAGATGAATTTGAATCGCACCTTCCTCGAGAACTATTCCGTGCGATCCCGGGAAACCGCCGCCATCGACCAGATGCAGAAAGAGGTAAGTGCGAGCTATCGGGGCGGGAATTTCTCGATAGCTTCATTTTTCAAACCCGCGGGGTTACGCGCACCCCCCGCGTTTAAGCGCGACGAGACGCTCCGTCGGGCAATCGCCCGCAAAATGGAACGCGCTTCAATATCGCGAGCGCGACGTGCTCTCGGTATCAGTTTTCCCGCTCTCGTTGTCATTTTTATGTTTCCCGACTCGTTGTATTCCCGCGCGACTCCAAGCTTTCGCGCGAGTTCGATGGTGCTTCACATTGCTGCCAGAAATACACAACACGACACCGGCGTCGAGTGTTTGCTGAAAACGTTTCATATGACTTGTCGATGCGTAATACGATCGTCTTCGGGAAATAAAGGGCGTCCCAGAATCATTCCGCGTCCTTCCAATCACACACACACACACACACACACACACACACACACACACACACAC